TCCATGTACCATTTCTGGGGACCCTGGAGGGTCTTGGAAGGGGCAGGAAAGGCCTGAAGCTAAAGCAACTTGGGACTTGGGCTTCTCCATGATTCCACTGTGTGATCCTTAGCCTTAGGATGTGGCATCAGTTGCTGAACCACAAACACCTGCTAGAGATGGTCTAGGCCAAGTGGCAGCTGTCATGCATGAGGAAGCTGAGGTCCCCGGGGCCAGCTGCCCCGCCCAGCCCCTGGGGAGGCGCTGGTGCCCTGCTGGCTCCCTGGTGCTCGTGGGGTCACAGCAGCACAGCGTCCGGGGCCGAGGCTCAGGCTCCGCCAGGGCTCCTGCATGTGCTGGTGGGGAACCTGGGCAGGTGACGAACCTGACTCGCGAGGGGCAAGACCCACCTCAGAGACCCCCGTGAGGCTGAGCTGAGACCATCTGGGCGCAGAGCACTGTGCGACAGACAAACCTTTGGATCATTCAATTGCCCCTAACTGCCCAGCCTCCCGCTGTCTGCATCGCTGCCCCCTCCAGGCCTCTCCTCTCCTCTCCTCCCCAGGCCTCCGACGCGCATTCTGTCGATTCTGTGCACCAGCCTTGGGCGGGAGCCTGGGAACAGGTCTCATTTCTCCCTCAGCCGGGCCTCCCGCTGGAAGGGCTCAGGTCTTCCCACGGTCACAGACAAGTTAGATTTGGCTGCCAGTGATTTCAGGCTTCCCACTCACATCCCCTCTTGTCTTATGTCCCCCTGGGGCCCATACTCGTGGGGAATGTGTGCATTCACCCCTCTTCTGAATCCTATTAACTCATCCCATGGGTCACCCTGGCCTCTTGGGGGCCTCACAGCCCTGCAGTGGGGGCAGCCCCTCAGCGCGGTTCTGTCCCTGCAGAGCCCCCCTGCCTGGCGGAGCTGGAGCGCATCCAGATCCAGGAGGCCGCCAAGAAGAAGCCAGGTGAGGCGCTGGGCTGGGCACAGGGCAGGAGGCAGGGAGGGTGCCCAGTCCCCCTGAGACTGGAGGCTCCAGCTGGGGTGTTAGGGGGAGGCCTGGCCTAGGAAGATAGGAGAGGGACTCCTCATTTTCATCCTTGTGTGGGTCAGGGTCTCCCAGCCCCCAGTGAGTGTGTTTTCAGCACTAATTTTTGCCTCCTGCTAATGGAGCAGGAGGTTGGGATACAAAAGGTTCCTAGTGCCCCCCCCCCCCATTTTATTCAGTTCAGCAAAGTGAGTTCAGAACTTGAGTGAGCCCGATCCCCCGCACCCCCTGCCAGTAGACACTGCTCAGCGAGCACTTGGGAGCCAGCCCAGGTCAGAACTGATGGGCAGCACAGACTCGGTCCTGGGCCCATAAGGCACATAGGCTCCCCGGGCACAGCCCACACCAACACGGCACCACCCCTAGCTGTGGCTGGTGTGAGGCCTCTCTGGGCCACTGGCTTCAGGGGGAGCCCTGAGGGATGGGAACGAGCCAGCCAAGTGCAGAACTGAGGGCAGGAAGATGCTCAAGGTTTTGGGGGACAGAAAGAAAGGTCCCCTGGAGTGTGGTGGCTGAGGGGACAGAAGTCTGAGGGGCAGGACCCGTGGAGCCTCCTAGCTCCTTGAGGGCAGCTTGGCATTGGACTGGGCTGAAGAGACCACACGTGACAATACTGGACCACACAGCGACCGACCCTGGCCGAGAGCCTGGCCTTCAGGGGTGGGCTTTAGCGCCGCAGCTACCAGGAAGCCACTGAGCCTGCCTGCTGGGCCTCCCGGCAGCCCTCCTGGGTGCCTGGTATTATCTCTGTGTGTCTCGCCCCCAAGGGGCAGAGTCCGTCTCTGGGTCCCCAGTGTGGTGGTCTCAGATGTCTGTTGAGTGGACAGAGGAGCAGCAGTTCCGTAGCCTGAGGGAATGCGGGGGCGGGGGCGGGTGTCTGTAGGCAGGTCAGGTCAGAGGGGCTGAGAGGAGAAGCATGGGCATTGCCAGCAGGGGGCACTCAGGATGGAGGGGCAGCCAGGATGGAGGGTAATGGGGTGGAGGGGCCGCTGGGGTGGAGGTCAGCCTGGCCATCCTACGAGACTTGGGCCACAAGTCAGGGAAGTGGCGAGGCGGACAGCGCCATCGCGGGGCCTGAGCAGGTCATCTAGGGAGGTGGGCTTTCTCGTCTCCAGTCGAGGAGCTGGAAGAAACACAGGCATCTGGGCTTTTTGGGTGGTCAGTGCCTGGGCTGCTGGGGTCTGGACCGCAACCCGGGTCCGAGCTCCAGGGCCACCCCTCTGGGGAGCCCCCCTCGGCCCTGCTCTGACCCTCCGCCGGCCCTCCAGGAGTCTTCATCCCGAGCTGCGACGAGGACGGCTACT